AGATGAGAGTAGAATGCTCCTTACACTTTCTGAGACTGTAAATCTTCATGGGAGCAGATGCTTTTAGTTTTTTCTTAGGAGTGGCTGGTGGGTTTGAACTGCTAACCTTGAGATTAGCAGTAAGTACAATGCCTACATGATAATGCCACCAGTGCTCCCTGTAGATAAGAGAAGGTGTGAAATAATACTGATAGGATTATACGAATCATTTGCGAGTGATTGTTAGCAGGATTAATTGTGACTGTAAAAACTTGAAACTCTATATTGAGGACTGATGAATTTTGCCATCTATCAAGGTATAAAAAGGGTCATGTCAGAAGCAGGAAGGGTATTCTCCTTACCACTGAAAAAGAAAAGACATGAATGGAGCCTATTATTTGGACCCTAAGATCCCTGCATACTGTCCCTCTTCATCCCACTGTACCAAGCTGTCATGGCAGAGAATCAGTGACAGTGGAGGCAGGAGCATCTAGAGCAGGGGACAGCAGCAGGTTTCCCAGCCCACAGCACAAGTAAAGTGGGGAGCCTTCCAACAGCAGGGTGCAGAGTCACGTGCCTCCAGACATGTAATTGGAATAGTTAGTTTTTTTAACTCATGGAGCTAGTGTTTATGGGCTGTGGCTTATGCCCTTTGGCATACTTATTGGCAGTGCTAAAGGAATTTCACAATATTTACCTGTGCAGTTGGAGGCCAAGGGGCTGCATGACTGAGACTCCAGCTCAGAAAGGTGAGCCTGCTGACTCTCGATTGCTGAATTTTGTTCTTGTCCCTCCTTATGATCTCAGAGGTGGTCAGATGCCAGCCCTACACCTTTCTTATGCATTATCTATGTAGGTGTGCACATAAATATATATGCAAATGAATATATGTATACAAGCTCGCATATATAATGCATAAATATGTGTCTTCATATGATATACTATTAAATATTCTATGATTAGGTAATACTATGAGTGATATATTTACATTACATGAAGACAAAAATGACTAAAAATTCACTGTCATTAAGTTGATTCCAATTAATAGTGACTCTGATAGGATAATGTAAAACTACCCCTATGAGTTTCCAATATCATAACGCCTTACAGAATAAAAAGCCTTATCTTAGTCCCATGGATCCACTGGTAGATTTGAACCGATGACCTTGTAGTTAGCAACTCAAATCGTCGTAAACCACCACACCATCATTGTTCCTTTCCTTGATTTAATCTTCAGAAATTGTCAGTCTTCAGTATGAATACTCCAGGATTCTGAAATAATATATGGTCTTAAGTCAAAAGCTGCTTATAAAGCATGAGTTTAGGGGGGAAAAAAACTTTACTTCGGACCATAAACTTTTCAGTTTACTAAAAAAGCCATTCTTTTTTGCCAGTTAAGTCACTCGACATGTGATATTCTTTCTTAAATTTGCTTTTTTCCTGATCTTGGCTGAACTGTCCTCTTTAGACCTCCAATTTAAAGTGTGTCTTGGGTTTAATTTCTGTTGTGCTTGCTTTTAAATATTTTCTCTCAGTCTGTTTTCCCTTGCTCATGTAACTTGTCCTAGCATTGTATGGGTTCATAGCAGACTCTCTCTCTAAATAAATAAATAGTCAGAAATGAATCCATTAATACGTTAGAGAGAACAATCGAGAAATAAAGATGTGGAAATATGGGAATTAATAGAATCCAGCCATTTAATCATTCTCAGCATTTTTGTTTTGTTTTAGAGTAAGTCGTACGCTGCAGGAAGAACTGAGACTGAAGACAAAATAACCTAGAATAAGGAAATGATGTCAACTACAAACAACTGTCACTGCCAATCTCCCTCTCCAAAGCTCCGTCCATTACTGAGGAAGCATGCATTTTTGTTTGAGACTCCTGTCATATCACTCTAGCACTTCCTAACATTTTTAATGCTGTCATTTACTTACCTAAAAATCAGTACCTCTTATTCACTGCAGACTTTGAGAACTGGCATAGAATCTTCTTTGCATCCACAAATTGTATCATAAAGTTGACAGATGTCAAGGTTCATGAAGAAAGTTCATCTAACCCTTTAGTATTAAAATGCATAATGTTCTCCTGGATCTTGTCCTATGTGGACCAACTCCACCTTATGAAGCTTAAAGGAACATCTTTCATCTCAGTGGACATTCCTTTTAGGGTTTGCTATCCCACAGACTCTCTCGCACTCTGTCTGCTCTTTAATCTTCAGTCATTTAAACTGTCCATCTACCTACAAGCTGCTAGTTCTTACTGACTTCTTGTCCATACTACCCAGCACTAACCACTTAGATAGCAGGCGCTTGCCTTCTAGTTTTATTTTTCTTTGGCTACAGAGCCCCTTGAACAGGTTCCTATGATGATATAGTTAAAGTTTAGTGTGCCAACCTGGCTGATAAACACATGTGGGGTTAATTGAAGTGTGTGTGTGTGTGTGTGGGGGGAATAAATAGCTCAGTGAGCCTCACCCTTCTAGTTCTCGGGTCTCTTGCTTTCTGATGGTTGGACCAGGGTGCAGCTGCCTTAGCTAGTTCCCTGCTTCAACTGGCAAGGCTCACTTCCTGCAAGACATCCCCAAGGAGAAGCCACATGGACCTACCCCAATGCAGCCCTGGGTGCTGGAGCAGCCATGTGGAGGCCCCTGCCAGTGCTGAGATGCTTACATGCTCACTGACTTGGCTTTCCTCCTGCAGTCGGCGTCATTGCGTGTGCTTTCTCAGATGGAGGAGAACCTTGTGGATTGGTGTCGGACATATGGATTAATGTTGGACTCGTGGACTTGGGCAGCACTGGGTTGGGATGTTTTCTTGATGTACACTTACCCTCTGTATAAAACTCTCTCTTATACATGAGTTTCTGTGGATTTGTTTCTCTAAAGTACCCAGACGTACATATATCACCATCCCTCTGGAAGCTAAATGCCTGTTTTTCCACATTCTCGTGAATAGGCATGGGTTTCAGTCTGTGCTAATCAGACATATCATTCCAAATTGTAAATATAATGCAGCAATACAAAACATTATGAATAAAAAGAAAGCTGGCCCTGTGTAGAATGTATTCTGGAAAGGGTAGCAGGAACTGTATCTGGGTTCCAAGGTGGCAGTGACTGAGCAAACCACGCCCACTGTTGGCCTTCACTGCGATGTGATCTTGGTAAGCTACCGTGTGTGTACCCTGCAAAAGCAGCTATGTGTGTGCCTATACCATTTTGCAGCATTGTCAGGGGCTGTTCTTATTCTCATTGTTACCAAACATTCCAAACATTCTGCTTCTTTAATAGTTTATGGAGTAAATTAGTGAAAGATGATTTTAATTAAATATATCCAGTATAGAAACATTTCACTTATCTCCTGGTGTTTTCAAGCATACGTTCCCAATTGATTCTTGAGTTCCTTATCTGCTAAGTGAGAATAAGAACACAAACTACTTTAGATGGCTTCTATGAGGATTAAATTAGAATATGTATTTAAACACTTATAGCAATGTAGTCGCATTAGAGAGCCTATGTATTTAATGCCCTTACAGTTAGTAGTAGTCTGTAGTTGATCATTTAAACTATGTTCTCACCAGAAACTTTTATTCAACTGCACCTTTTCTAATATAGCCACCCAGGAAAACCAACTCAAATTAAATACTACAAAATACCTTCTCTAGTCCAGCGTATTGTGTCAAATGGATCTTTCCTATCAATTTCCCCTGGTCCTTGGAGAGGATCCATGTAAAACAGAATGCTGTGTAATGTGGGGCTGATATTTGAACTTCTCTAGCTGCATAAGGAGGAGGGGAAAACGCTACTGTCAGCATCTGATGTCCAAAGCTGATTCTTATAAGGCTAAGGACAGACATGCCCCCACACTCCAACTACCCATAGCAATTCTGATGCCACCTCTCCCTCCCCACAGTGATTACATCTCAGCAGTGTTTGACAATTCATTGCAGAACTCAGAGGATACCAGATATGAGGTTTGGTAAGAAAGTTAACAGATTAAAAATGCTTACGACACAATTACTCTAACTGGGCAGACTCTTTTCACCTGTGACCCCAGGCAGGCCTCTCTCTGGTCTCTCTTTCAGGATTGTTAACAAATGCATAAAGAGCACACTTCACTGTAAGCTTCATCCTGGAGGCATTTAGCTCTAACTTTGTGGATCAACAAACCCAGATTTGCATATCAAATGTACAAAGACACCCCACCCTCCAAGCCAGACCTTTGCCTAAAAGCACTCCGTTTTGCTTACTCTGTGCCCCAATGTCTACTGCGGCCTCGTGCTCTGGCTTTGGGCTCTGGTGTCACAGCTCTCTCCTGTCAAGGAGATGCAATGCAGAGGGATCTCAAGACTCAGCAAACTTTTCACACTCTGCTCCTTCTCGCCTTGTGGTGGAACCCCTAATCCGATTTTTCACATAGCTTGTTTTATACCCAGCAGGATGGAAATCACAATTAACCCGGTTAAAATTCACTCAGAGCTGAAGCTTATCTGTCTCTTCCTCCACCTTTTCTTACCTGATCCCTCAGGAAAAGGTCATTTGTGGAAGCTATGAAGATTAAGACTAGAAGAGTCTTCTTAAATAAGTCACTGTGCTGCAACCCATGTTTCTTCCAGAGCTTCACTGAAAAGCTCATTCTACTGTCTAATTTACTTCCTATTCTTTCCATCCAACATTCTTTTTTTTTCATGGTTTAAGGAATTTTTATTAAAGCAAGAATTTTATAATCCAAATTACGTTTCCTTGCTCAGTTATCAATTCTGTCTTCTAAAATAGAAGTGACACTCTGAGCTATCTCCACAGTGAAGAATTACAAAATTAAAGAAAGGAATGCTTTAAATTTTTGTACTTTGCTGAAAATTTTTTCCCAGGGTCTATAAAACATTAATTTGTTTTTATATTTTACTAGTTTTTTGGTGTTTTTTGTTTTTAAGTGAATAAGGAATCTAGGACTAGCATTGTTTGCTAGCCCCAGCATTTGCTCGGTATATAAGGTTAAAAGTTTCCTTTGCTTTTTAAAAAATTTTTATTTTGTATTTTGCAATGTTGTTTCCACAATATTTAAGTTTTTCGATGTTTAAGTATTTTTCTTCAGTGAAGCATGAGTTTCTTGTTCGTGGTCCCTGATCATTTAAACAGCTGGAACACCGGTGGCGCTGTTAACTGCTTTCTGGACAGCCTCTTTAGCTTGGTGGGCTTGTAGAACAGCTACAGCTTCATCAACCTTAGAGCGAAGAGACTCTGGAGACTAGCATATGAAGAAATTCGGAATTGTCAATCTCCAACAGCATGCCAGTGATTTTACCAGCAAGGCTAGGGTGCATGGCTTGAATAAGAGGAAATAGCAGCTCATCCAACATTTGCTTTTGCTCTTGAGGAGAGGCAGATGCTATCATGGAAGCAGTCAAAGGTTCCTGACCTTGTACATGAACAGAAGGCTGCTGCATGGTGACCTGTGGCTGTGCGTCGAGATGTTGAGGATGGCGGACTCCTGCAGCGTATTTATACTGGGGAACGGTATGGACAGCAGGAGCTGCTGCAGCAGCAGCTACAGGACGGGGACCCATGGTCTGTGTTGATGTGTTAGCAACACGTTGTGTTGACACGACTCGTGGAACCTGTGAAGAAGCTGATCTCACAGTACTAAATGGTGGTTTGGGAGCAGCTGGGCGGATAGCACCAGGCGTATTTTGGAACGGATGAGCTCTGGCACCCTGAGCAGTCCAGCCAGGACTTGGTCTTAATTGAGCAATTTGGCTCGGAGGATGGTATGCAGCACGGTTCTGAGTCTGTGGGATAGCTGCCACGAAGTAACCTGAAGGAGGTGCTGGCTGGTAGGGGTTGATCACGGGGCTGGGCCAGCTCTCACACTTGCCATTCTTTGCATATATTGGTTAGTGAGGTGAGCCTGGCGTTCCTCTTTATGCTGAGCTAAAGCTACATGCAATGGCTTGGTGGCCACAATTCTACCATTCATTTCTCTAACTGCTTTAGTGGCTTCTTCGGGGGCAGAGAAACATACAAAGCCAAAGCCTTTGCTGCGACCGCCCTCCATCGTAACCTTTGCACTAGTGATTGTACCAAATGGAGAAAACTCTTTGTGGAGACGTTCATCATCAATACCATCATCGAGGTTTTCCACATATAAGTTAACAGCCTGGTATCTGGTGATTCTATCTTGCTTCATCTGTTCAAATTTGCGCTTAAGTTCTGTCTGCCGTTCCACTTTTTTCTGAGCTCGACCAACATGAATTTGTTTTCCATTGAGCTCCTTCCCATTCATTTCATCCACAGCTTTCTGTGCATCTTCATGCCTCTCAAAGCTCACAAGTCCAAAACCTTTGGATTTTCCACTTTCTGTAGTCATTACTTTCCCACTTAAGCCAGGCCCGAACTTGCCAAAGAGATCCCTAAGGAGCTGATCGTCCTTATCTTCTCCAAAATTCTTGATGTAAACATTGGTGAACTCTTTTGCCCTAGCTCTGAGTTCTGCTTCTCGCTCTTTAAGAGACTTAAATCGATGCTTTAGAGAAGTTCAGCCTCTCTATCCGGGTCTGCAGGGACGTGATCACCCGAAGCTCTTTGGGCTACGCCTTACGTGAACTTCCAGGAGCCGGCTGACGTGGAGCCGGCTGACGTGGAGCGGGCTTTGGGCACCATGGATTTTGATGTCATAAAGGGCAATCCGGTACACATCAAGTGGTCTCAGCGTGATCCATCGCTTCTCAAAAGTGGAGTGGGCAGCATATTCATTAAAAATTTGGACAAATCCATTGATAATAAAGCACTGTATGATACATTTTCTGCTGTATGATACATCTTCTCATGTAAGGTGGTTTGTAAAGAAAATGGCTCCAAGGGCTATGGATTTGTACATTTTGAGACACAGGAAACAGCTGAAAGATCTATTGAAAAAATGAATGGAATGCTTCTCAATGATCGGAAAGTATTTGTTGGATGATTTAAGTCCCATCCAACATTCTTAAAGGCATAGTCTGCATGTTGTATCTCCATTGCTTTTACTCAAGTCACTGTAATAAATCAGGTAACTTCACTGGAGTGAAATGACTCTCATTGAAACCTAAAATATATCTCCCAGCAGCCAGATATCAAGTGCATTTTCAATCAATGTAGCATAACTAACTTTGCCATATGACAGCCTGACACACAGCATTTTTCTGAAGAGAATTTTTAGTTTCATAATCATGCATTCTCTTAATTATTTTCATACCTCTATATCTTTTGTGAATATCTATTCTGTTGTTTACTCTTTCAGCTTTGTGGGGTGCTTTATGGCTCACCAAAAACCACAAAGTTTGGACATCCTACTTGGTCCATCTCTTAGTTGTAATTACCAGGTACACAGTGACATAGCTTCAGCCCAGGCATTTTTCCTGAGAATTATCAGTATATGATTAGCCCAGTGGCTGCAATAATGGGCTCAGGCATAGGAACAGCTGTGAGAATGGCAGAAGGTTGGGCAGTGTTTTGTTGTGTTTTGCAGGGTTGCTATGGGTCAGAACTGACTCAATGGTACCTAACAGCAACGTTGTCCACATACACTGCAAATTCACACTCTTTAAAGCTCTGTCTACCTGATCATTTTCATTTACCTGAGCTAAGTACAAGAATTTTCACCCAGGGGAACTATAGAACTTCAAGATGAGATGCACTGTGAGTAGAAGACTGTCATCCTATTGAGAGACATGAAAAGAGACCTGTCTGGTAATGGACAGTCTAACTTCTTTGTAACTGACTCCCGTTTAAATGTCTGTACATGAAAAACACATGCAACTTTAATGATCAGCATGTCCCCACATATAACAAACATGAGAGTGAGGCAAAATGATTCAAAAGAAACATCGTCTGCATCCAGAATGAGACTTTCCAATGCCACCACTCATCACAAGTTGGGTTACATTATTTCTGTGCAATAGAGAATCTGATTTTACTTAAGATCCCACTAGAGAGCTATTTCCTATAGCATAAGGGATCAAATATAAACTTTCTTGCTGCTGCTCTGTGAAAGAGAATGTAAGAGGCAGTAATTCTTAGAAATCACAGGCACTTTAACACATCAAAAGACCAAAAGAAAAATTACTTCATGGCACCTGGCTTAGGGGCAGACTACGCCCTCCCCTTATTTCTTTTATAACAGCCTATTGAGAAAAATGGAATTTATTCCACTATAAATCTGGTGCCCTTTTGTTTGAAACTTGACAGTGGAACAAAAACCAGCTTAGCATGAGCAGTCCCTGTCCTGATAAAAGAAAGTAACACTCTAGGATGGCCAAATTAGAATGAGAACATTGTGTGTTATTCAAAAGAGAACCAGTGGAACTTGTACTGATAGTGAGAAAGAACTTGTGTAATTCTCAGAAAGGGAATAAAATAGAACTAATATGATAATACTGTATAGAATTTATAGTTTAGGTGTTATTATAACTGGGTTATCTATAAACAAAGTTTTCATTCTAGAAATTAAGCCAAGGTTTACAATGACATCATGTGTTATCTTCATAGAAGAGGAAGTAAATGATCAATTCATCAATTGTGGGATATAGTATCTGGATTGTATAGATGCTTGTCTGTTAGTTTGCAATACTACAGTGGCTTGCATGTGGCTATCCTGCTGGGTCACCGAAAGTAAGCAGGTTTCAGCAGACTTTCTAGACTAAGGATAGACTATGAAATAGTTATTGTCCACTGTAGAGGAATTAGCCACTGAAAACCTATGGAACAAATGGGAGAAAGGAATATTAGTGAGACATTGTCAGATACTGACCGCTCATGAAGAGCAGCGGAGCATTGTCAGCGAGGGGGTCAGAAGAAGAGGCCTTCGTTGAAAGGCATTCAAAATATGACTAAGGAAGAGCTGCCTTCTCAAAGTAGAGTTGACCATTGTGATATGGAGAGAATAAAGCCTTAGGGACCTTCTGTGTGAGGTTGAGTTGTCCAAAAGCAAAATAAATGACACTCGTTTATGTATAAGGACACTCATCTATGTATAAGGAAGAACTTTCTAGCAAGCAGTAATCTTATATCAAGAAAGCACGCAAAACTAGTCCAATTTAAGTCCATGGGCCTGATGCTAGCTGAAGTCCACTTTAGAGTCATGTAGCTGCAGTCTGATGATGCCAAAAGGGAAGCAGAAAGCAGGGAGATGACAGGATGCTAGGTGCAGAGTTGCAGGGATCCAATGTCAGTGGGACCATGATGTGAATCCTCTTTATTCCAGTTGAAACTTTGTGTCTGCATCCATAAGCAATGTCAAAACTAGAGCAGGGCAGCTATGTCAGCAAACAATGCACATCAGCTCATGGGGCAAACATCATCCTCATCAGATGAGGTGCTGATCAGCCCAGTTGTAGCCATTTTACTCTAGGTCAATGGGTGCCATGGCAAGCTATGGAGTTCCCCTCCACATGGCTCTCCTATCCAAGTATCAGTGAGTAGACTCAACCCATCTCCCCATGGCAGTGTGTCCCCCACTTCCACTCAACAAGTGAATGCATGTGACCATCTATTGAGCATTTCAGGCTGCCCACATGTTCCCTTTAATTTTCAGTCCTAGAGGGGACTGATGACCATGGACTATTCCAGCCTGAGTACTTTCACAAAACTGCTTCCTCAAGATTTGAAAACCAGTGACCTTTTCAATTTTTCCCTCAGCCTCCCAGCAATTTTAGTAGCATGTCATTTCAAATGCAAATGCCCTAGCACTGAAGGGATTGAATGGGGCTTACCTTTTATAAGTCTTCTACCTTGGCATCAAACATCCAACAATAAGCCATTTCTTCCAGGCAATTGTCAATGTCACTTTTTGTAGTATTAAATTAAAATGTCGATGGGGGTTAGGGGGTAAAGGGGCCAGCCCCCACCCGCCACTACTAATACTACCCATGGGTTCAGTAAGCACAATTGTATGGTTGAAATATATATATATATTATATTAAAGTTATCGAGGGCAAGAGAGATATCACAATAATACAGTCAGACATATTACATGGCAGCATTGCTCACCTGCACCCCGCTTGGTGATCCTCTTGGGGGGAACCTGGCTGCCAGAGCTGGAGCCGCCTCCCTAGCGGGAGCAGCCGCCCTCATCCTCCTCTGCCGCCCTCCTGAGAACCAGGGAACTTCCTTATTTATTGCTAACCATGCATCATATTACTTTAGGGGGATACATCACAGCATCATGAGTCACAGAGAAGGGTAGTACAATTCATTTTTGAACAGATTTGATCACTCTGGTGTCTCATACAATAAAACCAACGATTACTATCCTGGGAGGCATGCAAGCCCCCTGATAGCAGATAATAACCTATGTTATAGGTAGGGGTAGCAACATAGGCAATACAAGCAATAGGAGGGGGATGACCTAGGGGTGAATGCGCAATAGTAAAGGAAGGGAATAGGGAGGTATGTGTGGCAAGATGGGTGGACCCTGGACTCGATAAGCTTAGTCATCCTAGAGTGGTCCCGGGCTTGCCTTCAGGCATTCCTTCAAGGGAACAATGTCAGAAAGGAATGGGCCCTGTTTGTTGTGGGATAAACAGTGGTGTCTGCTTGATCTAGACAGCTAATACCTCTCAGAAAGAAAGACTCCCAATCCACTCTTGATGACCTCCAAGTGTACAGTCATTCTCACACAGCTAAGGCTAGTACATATTTTGGGGGGAGACAGTTTGAGAGAAATCCTTCTGTTTCCCACAACTTTTAATAGACCCCATTGTAAAAGGTCCAAGATTGACAAACTTTAAGCTTTCTCTCTGGAAAAAAAAAATCCTATGTTCATTTCTATTACATTATATCAATAACAGTGTTGTTGTCAAGAGTCATTCAGTCCTTTTGCTTGACATTCTTTTTCTTGATTTCAGGTAGGAATAACCAAAAATAGCTTCTAAGAATGAGACGTTTCGCACCCCATATCCTTTCCAGAGTATAACCTAGTAAGCTGAAAAGCCACCTAATGCTTCCTCGGGCCATCCAAAGGAAAAGGAAAATAAAGCTCTACCTAATTGCCATGATGCACAGATTAGACAAACCTCCTCTCCATCACCATGATTTGCTTCTCTAGATCCTACTCCCATGGTACCAGATGCATTAGGCTGGATTTTCTAGAGAAACAGATCCAGTGATACCTATACATGGAAGAATTTTATATCAGGACATGATCTTATATCAAGAAGGCATCCTAGCCCAGTCCAACTTAAGGAGTCCGATGCTAGCTTGAACCTTCTTCAGACTCATATAGCTGCAGGCTAACAACGTCCAAAATGAAACAGGAATCAGGGAGAACGCAGGCCAGTGGGTGCACAGTTGTGTGGATCCAATGATCGTAGAAATGTGGCAGGACTCCTACAGCTCTTGGGTTTGGGTGGCCCACTCGGGTCACACCCTGAAGACAGGCACAGAGTCCCAGCTACCAAGAACATGAATGGGGCAGAGAGAGCTAGAGAGGATAGGTCGCCAGGCTTTCTTTTACAAAAAGGACACAATTTTCAAGAGGCATCAAGAGGTTGCAAACTATTCAGAACCTGTAAATCAGTGGTTCTCAACCTTCTTAATGCCATGACCCTTTAATACAGTTCCTCATGTTGTGGTGACCCCCAACCATAAAATTATTTTTGTTGCTACCTCATAACTCTAATTTTGCTACTGTTACGATTTGTAATGTAAATATCGGGTATGCAGGATGTATTTTCATTGTTACAAATGGAACCTAATTAAAGCATAGTGATTAATCACAAAAACAATATGTAATTATATATTGTGAAATATTTATTTCTAATTACAAATAAATGAAATTTGGTCTTGAAGTATGGTGTAGCATGGGTAACAGTCTTCAAATCAGGTACTCATATGTGGCATATCTGCATGTGGGTTGACCCGCCTGCAGATGGATAGAGGAGCAGTGTCTCGGATCCAAAGACCATCAGAAATATGTTTCCTATGGTCTTAGGCAATCCCTGTGAAAGGGTCATTCAACCCCCAAAGGGGTCACAACCCACAGGTTGAGAACTGTTGCTCTAAATAGAAAGCTTGGTTAACAGTCTGACCTAATGGAACGGAATCCAAATACACCAGGAGTTGACATTTTTGTCCATTCGGGAAGTTGACAAACATCTAGAACGTTGTTTGTCATGAGTCAACATTTTACCTTTTTTGAAATGAGAAAACCACTCTTACACTTGAGTGTTTTCCATAGCTCTGTCCTTGTAAGCTGTGTTCAACATCACAAAGTTTGTGCTGCATTTTTCCTTGGCAGGAAAGAAAATTTCACAGGCACATGCAGTTCTCTTAAATTAGCCATCACAAAAAATACAGGTTTGAGTGAACCTGCTTTTACAAAAATAATTCACCCTGACCAGCGAGAACCTTCCCAGGTGATGCCACTGGCTACACTAACTCAGAGGGAGTTGCTCAATTCTCACCAAGTGGAGAAAATGCATATTACAAAAGCTCTATCTAGTGGAGCCTTTTTCTGTTTCTTTTTGGGTACTCCCTCATATGAAAACTATATAGCTACATCGAAGTCCAAGTAATAGATTTAAATGTACCCAGTTACTACTAAAGGTAGTTATGAAAAAATTGAAGAATTCTACAAACTTCTTCAGTCTGTGTTCCATCAAATATGCAATCAAAATGCATTAATAATTCCTGGTGTTTGGAACATGAAATATGGAAGAAGAAAAATCAATAGTTGGACATATGACCTTGGATATAGAAACAAAACTGCAGATCACCTGATATTTCCATTGAAAATATTTTTTTTTGCCAATAATATAAGCAATGAATTTATATGTGAACTTCCCCAGATGGAATGCACAGGAATAAAATTGTGGAAAGAAACTATAGAGAAGTTCATCTGTGGAAAGAAAATATGGAAAAGATCTGGAGAGGACTACATATCATCAGTTGCTCAAAAACAAGTTGAAGCTGAAGACAATGAGAACAGATCCATGAGAGCTAAAATATAATCTGCGTACATCTTACCTTAGTTTAGAGAACATATCTCGAAGAGAGTTGGGATTTTGAACACTAATGACAAAGGACCTAATGAGCTGTGCAATGACATCAGGAATATCATTAAAAATACAGAGAAAAAATAATAAAGAAATTACAAAAAAGGGGGGTGTCACACACTTTCAGTAGCAGATCAGGCCACACCTGAGCAGATTCTGTTCCTGGGTCGGATGTTAGTTTGGAGACATTTCTTGATTCAAGTAATTCCAATCGCTGATGAATCCATGATCAGTAGAAAGACCACTGGCTGGTGATTGCAAAGGTGAATGAATCCAAAGCCTACAGTTAAAGGCTTGTGGCTTCAGAGGTGAATGAACTGAAGTCTTCAGGTAAGATTGCAGGCCACTGATAAGTCCTAGGATTAAGTAATTTGGGAGGCTATTGGCTCAAGTCTGAGGAACCAGAGGTCTGTGAACCAGATATAGGATCCAGACTGGGCAAAAAGTAAGGTTTCCTACAGCATCCCTTTATTTTAGGATCAGGTCACATTACCAAGAAAACTTGCTTTTAATTAAATGCATCCTGATCATGACCTGAGTAACAGTGTTGTCTCCCACCCTAATCGTGTTAGGTGACATCATGGGGGCTTACTAGGTCTTAACTATAAAACCACAGAATTCTTGTCCAGCCAAGCTGACACAAAACATAAACATTACAGTGATTATCAAAAGAAACTCTGAAACTTGTTTTTAATGTATTCCCTCAACAGCTGCCGTCAAGTCAATTCCAACTCATAGTGACTGTGGTAATTACATAATTTCTTGTCAACTTGAAAAATAAAGTGTAGTTGTGGAGTCTAGCCTGTCAATGAGGTCACAGCCTAATGATGCCTCCTGTGGGTGTGGCCTTCTCATAAGGAGGATCCTGGGAACCTCCCCATCCCACCCCCCTCTCTGCCTTCCCTTTCCTGCTATTGAGTCACTCAGAGCTGCCAGAGCCATGGTGAGGTCTGCCAGAGCTTTGTAATGTTTCCATCAGAACTGATCCATAATGTTTTACACTCACCGGTCTGTGGTCTTCCTACATTCTGCATCCTTGCATGAAGAGGGATTTATGGACTAGTATTGGACTTATGGACAAGTATTGGACTTGCGGACTTGATCCAGACTGGGCTGGGATGTTTTCCTGATATATAACTACTTCTTGATATAAAGTGCTCTCTTATACATATATGAGTGTCACTAAATTTGTTCCTCTAGTCAGCCCGACCTAAAACAGTGACACCATATGCAGTGTAGAACTTCTCCTGTGAGTTTCCACAACTGTAAATCTTTATAGGAGCAGAAAGCTTCATCTTTCTTCTAATGAGAAGCAGACGGTTTCAAACTGCTGTCCTTTTGGTTAGCAACTGAACTCATAGTCCACTATACCACCAGGGCTCCTTCTCTTAAAAGTAATTAAATTGAATGGAAGGAATGATGAAGTAAAATAGTTGGACAGAAATTTTCAAAATTCAGCTCAAGAAGACAAAGCAAATTATTATAATGATAAATGTGCAAGGACTTACACAGGCAAAAAAAACCCACATTGAGCATATGTCAAACTGAAAGAATTTAAGAAAATTTCAAGCTTTCAGTTGGGAAATTGAAGTATTCCAAGGGAAAACTATTTAATGATGTAGAAGGCATCAAAATAAGATGGGAGGAACACACACAGACACGGTACCAAATCAAATTGCTTGACGTTCAGACATTTCGAAAAGTAGTATACAGTTGAAGAAAGGGTTTGGCTATTGCCATGACGTAGGAGTGAGTCATACCTCCAACCTCCATCTTTCTTTATCCTCTTCTGATGCCAATCTTTCTTCCTTAGCACTCTACATCTATTCAGCATTCAGAGATCCCTTGCAATGGCATACAAAATTAGAAACAACACTCATGATTGCTGTTGGTAGGTGCCATGAAGCCTTTTCTGATCCATAGCAACCCCATATTCAACAGACCGAAACCCCACCTGGTTGTTTATCATCCTCACAATGATTACTATTCTTGAGCCCATTGTTGCAGCCAAAGGATGGCTTCTCTGGTTCCAGAGGTCTGGTCGCATCAGGTCGGTCCATGTGGCTTCTCCAGCTCCCA